CTGGGTGTCGTAAACAGTGGCGTTCGTAAATCTCCTCAATTTCTTTACAACCTTAGACCACTGAACTTCTCCATTTTCATTTCGACTCCACTTCCAACTTTCTTTTCTTTTCGTATCCTTCATACAAATGGGCAGCCAAAAGATAGCAACCAAAACCGGCGCTCGAATATGCGTGGTCAATGGTTGTTCAAACTGAACTCAACTGAATTGAACTGATTGATTGTGCAAGAAACTTATGTGGGCACAAGACTGGGTTACGTAACTTGATTAGCATCACCTCGCAAGAACGTAAAAATCCCGGCGTAACAACGCCTTGAATGTGGATCAACGATGTGTCCAGTTGCTATGAGATGTTTTGCGATTGATGACCCTGGATTTCTCTCATCAGATAGATTATGAGACATATTATAACCTACAATGTCCAAGAAAGTGAACTTGTCGCATCATGTGATTGTTTGGTGCGGGTGATCGACTGCAAATCACCTGATCTCATGATATCTTATGTCCGAACGGGAACACTTTCGCAACTGATGGACCGTAAACATATTAATACTCTATTCGGTGAAGGCTACAGCTCAGCGTGATCAAGACAGCAAACACCCAGGTAGGATGCGCATACACACACTGAGTGCTTATTCGTGTTGCGTAAATGAGGAAAAAGCCGGAGCGGAAAAATAAGACGCACTTGGGCCCGGATGAATGAGAAAGTGATGTCCGGAGAGAACGGTGAAGGCAAGTGGAGAATTTCGTACGGTGGAATCATACGGCCCTTGGAGAGAACGTCATTCACCCAGAATATGGTCACTAGACGAACGCGATCACGCAGTGCCTAAATAGGGGTAGGAAAAGAGAACAAAATATATATATATATATACATGTATATACGCAACTAATCAAACGATTAACTTAAGCATTACGACGACCAAATGTGAAAACGGAAACAAGGAAAACCGAAAACAATGATTTTATGCTGGATATGTTAATGTCTATTTTGATTAGTATGAGCGAAAAAACGGCGTACTGCATATATATATATATATATATATATATATATATATATATATATATATA